CGGACTATAACAGCCCTAGCATTGTCCAGAAAAATGAACTGGTTTATTTTGCTGGCATACATGTAATTTCGGATACTGTTCTCTGAATATTATGAATGTTAATTTAAAGAAAATAATTGATTTTATTTTATTTTATTTTTTTTTAGCAGGAGCATTAGGATTTCATTTTTTGAGTGTTAGGTTTCGTCATTTTAAGTCAGAAGAATTTGGGGTTTCGACTTTCGTCAGAGGTTTCGTCTTTTGTCTTCATGCGAAAAAGGTTTCGTCTAACAACTATAGTCGTATTAACTATTCATAAAAACTGGAGCATTCTGCGATGTGATTATCCAGGATCTGTTCTTTTTTTTGATAATAAATGTGATACCATTAATATAACACAATTTTTACCAAGTAAATATTACTACGTAATACTGTACTATATACAGTATATATATCGATATACTAATGCTAAATATAGACTAAGAAATACCGTAATATTATTGGCTATTCTCTAATTACAATTAGAGATGGTCACCATACCATCTGCACGGTGAACGTGATTTTAATGGTTGCATAGTGTGGTTGTATCACGTGCAACAATTCTAAAAAATTAATATCTAATTGGTTTTGCTGTCTTTAAAGCTATTATAAACTTCGAATTTGACACACTTGCGTGCACCATGGCACACCATACGCATGCACAATATCATGCAGGCATGTGCATCATGCACATGGTGCCCATCTCTAATTACAATCCTCTATCTGACATCTTGCGGTTACAAGCCTAGCTGTTCTGTATATAGAATGTCTAAGATGTCTAAGATCACAAATTTACATGTCTGAAATGTGTGCCAGATTTGCGGCGCAGATTTGCAGTACTAATGTTGACAAATTTATTTAAGTTCATTGATTTTAATGTTAGCCTTTATATTAGGGTTAGATGTCAGCAAATTATATAGTAAAATCGCTTAATGAAAACTTCTGTCAGGAAACTAAAAATGGTTTCTTATACAGATTTTTTGAGAAATAAGCAGGTTTTGACAAAACGGACGTTTATTTTGAATCTTTCTATATTATTCCTGACCTTGAAATCTGATTTGTATTCAAGAAGATCCAGACGTGCAAAATTTACGCAAAAATAGGTTCGTAAAAAACCATATTTAATTTGTATAAATAAGGTAACTTTTGTTTTAAAAAAACAGTTTAATTTTTTTAAACGTTTATTTAAGCAATTATAAATTTCAAAACTAATACATTATCAAATTCTTTTTAAAGAAAATGAAAACCTCACATTCAGAGAAATACTTGAACCTAAAATCTGGTTTTTATTTTATTTTAACTGTAGACTGTGTTATATTAGGTTTAGAAATTATCGTTAATTCAGACTTCGATTCTATCATTTACAAGTGTAAATAGGGCACCATACAATTTCAAATTAGCTCAGGGTTACAAGCATAGGCTATGCGTAGTAATGCTGGTGAAATTAAATCAGTGTGGTGAAATGATTTCACCATTTCACCAAACACCAATCGGTATTGGTGTAACTGGTGTAACTGGTGAATTGGTGAAATTGGTGGGTTGGTGAAACGGTGAATTGGTGAAACGGTGAATTGGAGGTATGTTGAAATGTCATAAGTCTGCTGTTGAAAATAGTAACGAAAGTGAGTTAGTGTCTGATAAAATTAATATGAACAG